TTTTTTTTCAAAAAAAAAATTTTTTTTTTAAAAAAAAATTTTTTTTTTAATATTTTTTTTTTCAAAAAAAACTAATTTTTTGTCCAATTTATAGTTTCTCAAAAATCTTATTTTTTCAAAGTAATTTTTTTTCAAAAATGTTAATCGTTTTTAAAAAAAATAAAAATTTTTGGTACGGGAAGTTCCAGCAATTTGCCTTAAGGCACGATGCCCTAATTGCCTTAAGACAGAATTCCACTTACAGCTAGTTTTATTTTTAAGTTGAGTTATTTCTTTCTTGTGATATTCAAAAGAAGGTTTCGTATTTTTACCGAACTCTTACTGAAGATTATCATAATCAAGCCTATTGTTAAGTGTTATTCGAGATCTTTTTCTAATTCAATCATTTTTAACTTCCCGTAGGGCAAGTTATAGTAATCGCAAAAAAATCGAAAATGAAAATTTTTATATATTTTTACGTTTCAGAGGTTTCTGAATATTTTGGCATACCTTAGAAAAAATGGATGTATGTGTGTGTGCGTGTGTGTGTGTGTGTGCGGATACAAATTTTCCTCTACGATTTCGGGAACACCGATCAACCGATTTAAATAATTCAAAAAACATTCGATTCGTATTGATAAGAAGACGTGCTGATTAGTTTTTGGCGAAGGCAGGTCTAGCCGTTCCGAAGATACGGGGCAAAAAGTGCTAAAAACGGTAACTCAGTTTTTAAGAGAACGGAGCGTCTTATTTTAATAATTCATAAAACGTTTTACTTGTATTGACAAGATAAAGAATTGATCAAATTTTCATAAAGGCAGGTCTTGCGGTTTCGGAGATCTAATGAAAAAAGTAAAAAAAATGACATTTGGCGGTCAAAAATGATCATTAGACATATGCACATCAAATTATCAGATATTTTATAGAGATTTTAATAATAAGTATAGAATTTTGTTTGCATTCCTATGGGTTTCGTTCCAATGTTTATTCGTTAGACGGCGACGCGGCGCTTATGCGCTTTGACATTTTGTCACTATGGAGTTAAAGCAGTACGATTGCTTTGAAAAAAAGTTCAGAATTTCCAAAATATGTCTAAATAAAGAAAACATTTTTTTTTCAAAAAAACAATTATTTTTTTTTCAAAAAAGTAATTTTTTGTCAAATTTATAGTTTCTCAAAAATCTAATTTTTTCGAAGAATTTTTTTTTCAAAAATGTTAATCGTTTTTAAAAAAATAATAATTTTTGGTACGGAAAGTTCCAGCAATTTGCCTTAAGGCTAGATGCCATGCGCCCCACCAGTTTCATTTAAGTTTTTATTTGGAAAATTATTTTTGTCATGTAATTTTCTCTCCAATATACTGAATTGTTCTTCAAGACATTTATTCCTTTCAGAAAGATCTTTTATATTTTTATCTCTTACCTTAATTTCAAATTTAAGTTCCTCGATTTTATTTTTATCCATATTTGATTTACCTTTATTATCATTATCTAAGTCTTGTAGTAAATCATTATCTTTCACTAATTGTTCATGGTTTTTGAACTTTTTGGCATATCTTAGAAAAAATTAATGCATATGTGTGTGTGTCTGCGGATATATACACATCAAATTATCAGATATTTTATAGAGATTTTAATAATGTGTACACATTTTGTGTAATTTTTTTTTGGGTTCCGTACCAAGATTTTTAATTACGGTACGGGAACTTCCAGCAATTTGCCTTAAGATATTTTTAATTCACAAACAATCATGGCGCTATTATAAATTGTTTCTAAAAATAGCGAAAGAAAAGTGGTAAAAACATGAAAATAACTCATTAAAACCAGTTTTGGACATATCCACAGGCAATGAATTGTTTTTTAACTTCCCGTAGGATAAGTTATAATTTTTTTTCTAAGGTATACGCACATACGGCACATACCTATTATTCAAATCTCTATAAAATATCTGATAATTTGATGTGCATGTATCTAATGATCATTTTTGACTGCCAAATGACATTTTTTCACCTTTTTCACTCTATCTCCGAAACCGTTAGACCTGCCTTCCCAAAATTTACAGTAAAATGTTTTTGAATTTTTAAAGTCGGACGCTTTGTTTTCTCAAAAACTGAATTACCATTTTTGGCACTTTTGCCCCTTTTTGTGGCATCTTTGAAACAGCTGAACCCGCCTTGGCCAAAAACTAATTAGCACTTCTTTTTATCAGTTGGAATCGAATTCGATGTTTTTGAATCATTCAAATCGATTGATTCGTGTTCGCGAAATCGTCGACAATAATTTGTATCCGCACACGCATGCGAATACACACACATAAATCCATTTCTATAAGTATGCCAAATTGTTCAAAAACTTTTGAAACGTAAAGATATATAAAGATTTTCATTTTTGATTTTATTTCAATTTTAAAACTTTTTAAAAAAAATTAATATTTGGTACGGGAAGTTCCAACAATTTGCCTTAAGGCACGATGCCATGCACCACTTGTTTTTTTTTTTCAATTACGTCTGATCATTAGATAAATATTTTGAAATTATATCAAGAAAGTAGTGATGACCTTATAACTTGTTTTTGGTTGCTAAAATATTATTTGAAATTTTGTTACGTTCATCTGATACTTTGCACGTAACCATAATGATAAAACAGCTTAATAGATTGCCACCATAACATTGAGCCTTGAATGAAAACAAAGTTTTTGAAAAGCTTTAGTTTCTTAGAATTAATTTTTTTTTAGTATTTATTATATAACTTAACAAAACGGTAAACAACATGGTTTAATTAAATGCTGAAAATATTAGTTAACTTATGCTAATTGAAATATTTAAAAAAGATGTATGTGTGTGATATAAATCTTCATCGATGATTCTGATAATACTGATCGACCGATTTGAATGATTCAGAAAACATTCGATTCTATTGATGGTCAGACGTGCTGAATAGTTATCGCCTATGTCAGGTCCAGCGGTTTTGGAGATACGGGGAAAAAAGATAAAATAATAGCAATTCAGTTTTTGAGCATCTGATTAGAATGATTAAAAAAACATGTTGCTTGTATTGACGAAATAAGTAATCGAATGAATTTTTAGGAAAGCAGGTTCACTTATATAATTTTGACAAATATTCTCGACATTTTTAGTATCAACCGACTTGAATAGATTTCAAAATTTTCAAAAAAATATCTAAATTATCAAATAAGTAATTTTTCTTCACATTTTTTTCAAAAAATGTTGAAGCTTTTAAAAATTAACAATTACGGTACAGAAAGTTTCAGCAATTTTATCTTAAGGCACGATGTAATGCGCTATTAGTTTCTATTTGTTTCATTTTAATTACTTTCATAGTTTATGCGTTAGGAAAATGAACCATACCAATTATAAAATTATTTGTTGATAAATATGAATATAAAATGAATTCCGGATATAAAATGATAATTTTAATATCATTTCAATTTCTTCATTAATGAATGAAAATCATAATTTTACGGAAATGACAGTTTTCGACTGAACGCTAATATTGAAACTTTATATTATTTCATTTGTATAAATGTTTTGGATCTTTATTTTGAACAATGCCTTAGATTAAGTTTTTTAACTTCCCGTATTTATCGAAAATGAAAATTTTTGCATTTCTCCACGGTTTGAAGGTTTCTGAACATTCTGGCATAGCGCAGAAAAAATTGATGTGTGTGTATGCGTTTTGTGTGTCAGCATTTTTTGATTCATGTTTTCGGGCGCACGGATCAACCGATTTGAATGGTTCAGAAAACATTCTATTCCTATTGATAGGGAGATGTACTGATTAGTTTTTGGCAAAGACAGGTCCAGTCGTTACGGAGATAAAGAACAAAGAGTACAGAAAATAGAAATCGAGTTTTTGAGAGAACGGAGCATCCGATATGATTGATGTAAAAAACATTCGATTAATAATAATTGGGAGAAGTGGTTAGTAGTTTCTGGCAAAGGCAGGCTCAGCTATTTTGAAGATACAGAGCTAAATGTACAAAAAATGGCAGTTTTTGAGAGAAATAAGCATCCGAATTGAATAATTCAAAAAACTTCCTGCTCGTGTTGACAAAACAATTTTTAATTAAATCAATTAATTTTTTTTTTGTGTATTGAAAATAATTCAGATTTCAATTTTAATTCTGGCTAATGTTTTAGAGCTCACCTATATACTTTAAATAAATATTTTTGACTTTATGATTTAGTTTATATAATTCTTATAAATATTAGACAATGTTACTGTATTTATAATAATTTATTTGAAAACATTTAATATTGCTCAAATATTTTGTTACGGTACGGGAAGTTACAGCAATTTGCCTTAAGGCACAATGCCATACACCAGTAGCTAATTTTTGTAACGTCTTCTCCGTGGCTCAGTAGTAAGAGCTTTTGTCTTTGGGTTAATTTGCCTGGAATACCCACCTCGGCCTGCTTGATAGGAAGCAATATAGATATTGATATAGATATTTTATTAATATATATTTTGAAATAAAAATAGCTCTTTCCTGAGACTGCTGATGAAATTAAAAAATCATAAGCATTAGAGAGATCCAATAATAAAATTTACCAAAGAGTGAAGATACCAAAGAAAGCCGCTTAGTTAAAGAGTATTATCACAACAGCTCATAGGACTCTTAATTTCTAATTGCCGAACAAAAGAAGAAAGAAAAACAAAAAATAGTGGATAACACGATAGTTCAGCATATGTATAAAAGATATAGATTTGCAAAAAGCGAACAAGTAACTTTTACAAATCATTAGAACAAAAGTCAATAGATTTATAATTATGTCACGAAAACAAGGCGTTGTTAAGTATATTTCCTTGGCACAACGCACAATTAAATTTATTGAATAATTGAACCAATGGCCGTTCATTATTTGAGGTCTCCCAGTATTTGTGTATGTGACCTCTTGCTTGACATGCAATAGATAATTTCGATAAGAGAAAATTTATAAATCTAGCCGCTCGGCAACCGGGCAGCCCAATCCATGCTTGTTCAGTGTAGATTGCTTTGCAGAAATCCGAGACTGAGAGTTGACTGATTTTTGTGTCTGTTAAACATTTTTACAGTGATAAACATTTTATTGTTGTGTTTTAGTACACTCAATAAATATTAACCGAAAGGAAATTTTGATTTGAATTAGACAGGTTTATACTTCAATTTAATGGTGAATGCTCAAGGTTTGTTGGTACACAGTTTGTGCGTTTACGGTATTGTCTCAAAAGCCGTGCGGGATACTTTGAAGATCGTACTTGCTATTTGCATTGGTGAGATTTTATTTTTTTTAATTCTAAGTTTAATTTAACCAGTAACCAGTGGCGCTAAATAATCGTAAAATGTTCTTCTAATGTAAAATTCCACTTTGGAACTATTTATATTATTCCGCCGAAATTTGATAATGTTTTATTCATTTTTTCTATAGTTGCAATCTTAATAGCTAATTAAGCTAATTAAACTTTTATATATAGCATGACAAATATAGTACACAAAATTTTGTGTTTTTTTCATAAGAAGTATATTCGTCAATCACAGTTAACTGGTTAAGGGCAAAATAAGACTCGCAATATCTATTAACATAAGTTGCATGGTAATATGTATACTTGCATTATTAATAGCAGAAAATTTAAAGTTTATATAATGATCGGCATCAAGAAGTTATTAAAAAAGATAATATATTATATTAACTGCACAGATTTACAATCACTGTTTCACGGTGTTAGTGTAATAAACTATAATATATTATGAAGATTTTTATTGAGGTAAAATATTGCACGCATTATTTATAAGATAAAAATATTACATATTATTAACTTTTTATAGGGGAAGTTGTAGTAACCGCAAAAAAATTCGAAAATGAAAATTTACGCATATCTTTACGTTTTAAGAGTTTCTGAGCATACTTTAGAAAAATTATATATATGTGTGTGTGTGTGTGTGTGGACGGATACGACGATTTCGAAAACACGATTCAACCGATTTGAATGATTCAAAAACATTCGATTTCTATTGTTAAGAAGATAAGCTGATTAGTTTTGGGCAAAAGCAGGTCCAACCGTTTCGAAGATACGGGGCAAAAAGTGCCAAAATGGTAATTCAGTTTTTAAGAGAACGAAGTGTCCGATTACAATAATTCAAAAAACATTTTATTTGTATTGACAAAATGAAGAACTGATTAAAAATTTAGGAAGGCAGGCCTAGCCTTCATTATGAAATAATATTTATAATAATATAATAATTAATACGTTATATAAGGTATTTTAGATATAAAATAAAATTTACAAGAATTTATTATTATAACAAGATTTTTTGTCGAAAAACAAGCTATTAGTTTTAAGATATAATTATAATCAGTAGCAACTAAGTTGATAATTTCAAGTGCTGAGATAATGATTTGCTTATATTTATTTGAATTTATAGATAGAAGAATTTAAAAACTGATAAATATACATCAGAAATTTAATATTTACAAAAGATATACAGAAATAATACTAATAGCGCCCATATACTATTTAGTACAGAATATTTGTTATAGTATAGTATAGTATAATTTATAGTAACAGTAAAAAAATCTAAAATGAACCTTTTTGCATATCTTTACGTTTCTGAACACTTTGGCATACCTTAGAAAAAATGGATATATGTTTTGTTGTGAGCAAAAAGTGCAAAAATAACAGTTTTTGAGAGAACGGAGCTTCCGATTAGGATGATTGAAAAACATTTTACATATGCAAATAAAATTTGCTTGGTATAAATGTTTATAATATGCATAATACTAAAAAATTCAAATGTTCGTTTTTTTAATCAATTATTCTCATAATATTAAAAAAAAATAAAAAAAAATTAAATAATTACAACTTTGAAACTTTAATGTTTGTATTTTGTTTTAATAACTTTTTAGAAACATGAGATACAGTCTCATATGATGCATTCATCCTTTTGCTTATAAACATATGTTTACATTCTATATAAACATACAATAGTTTATTCTTCGAATGTTTATATACTATGTGGTAAGTTCCTGCAATTTGCTATGCACCACTAATTATTTTTATTACTTGATATAAAGTGATAAATAATATTGAATTATTGAAAAAATGCCGAATCATAAATGTATTATTTTTACATTTAAAATAAAGGTATTTTAAGAACCTATATCATGCTTAATGATTTGAATGATTTGATAAAATTAAAAATGTAAAGAAATGATAACGTTTATAACTAGTTGTGTATGACATGGTGCATTAAGGCAAATTGCTGGAACTTTCCGTGCCAAAAATTATTTTTTTTCAAAAAGATTAAAGATTTTATTTAAACTTTGAAAAAATTAGATTTTTGAGAAATTTTACATTTTTGAAAAAAATTGACTTTTTTGGAAAAAAACTTTTGATATATATATTTTTTGAAGTATTTTGGAAATTTGGACCTTGTTTTTAAAGCAATCGCACTGCTTTAGCTGCATATAGATAAAATATCGAAGCGCGTAATCGCCGCGCCGCCGTTTATAGGACAAACGATGTTACGGAACCCATAGAAATGTAAATATCAGATAATTTGATGTGCATATGTCTAATGGTCATTTTTTACCGCCAAATGGCATTATGCAGACCTGCCTTCCCAAAAATTAAATCAATTCTTTACCTTGTCAATACAAGAAAAATGTTTTCTGAATGATGAAAATCGAACGCTCCCTTCTCTTGAAACTGAGTTACTGTTTTTGGCACCTTTTGCACCGTATCTTCGGAACGGCTAGACCTGCCTTTGCCAAAAACGAATCAGCATGTCTCTTTATCAATACGAATTGGATGTTTTTTGAATTCTTCAAATCGGTTGATCGATGTTCCCGAAATCGTCGACAAAAATTTGTATCCGCATACTCACTCACACACGCACACATATACACACATACATCCATTTTTTCTTAGTTATGCCAAAACATTCAGAAACCTTTGAAACGTAAAGATATATAAAAATTTTCATTTTCGATTTTTTTGCAATTACTGTAACGGGAAAATAAAAATATATATTTATGCGATTTTGATTTTTGTATAGTACTCGTTGTGTATATGAAATATATAATATATTGATCAATCGTTTTTACTTTAGTCTTTAGTCATTTGAAATAATAAATTGTCGGTATGTAACTTGTTTCCAGTGACGTAATGTGACTTTTTTGTAATAATGTTAGCCACTAGGTCTGTGAATTTATTTGAAATAATTTTTATTCTATACTGTAACGACTGGATCGGAATTAGAGATCTCGGGTTCGATCCCGCTTCGAACAGCCTGGTGTCGATTAGTAGTAACGTCGGTTTTCAGTTAAAAATACAGAGAGCAAAATATTTCCAAGTAGAAATAGCCTTTGTCGGGCATTACTAAATCAATAAAATTTCATCGTAGTTAGTAAGAAATAGTAGTTAGTAAAATAGTCATCACAACAGCTTATAGAACCTTTAAGTTCTAGTCGCTATTGAAACAACAATTGAACTAGTGGTGTATGGTACTTAATCAATCGGATTTAAAATGAAGGAAATTGTCTAATATTTATAAGAATAATATAAACTGAATTGCTAAAATTATATTTAAATAAAATTATTTATCTGAAGTATTTAAGTGAGCTTTAAACTTTAACTAGAATTAAAATTAAAATCGGAATTATTTTCAATATTCAAAAAAAAATTTTTGAAAAAAAATTGATATATTTTATTTTCTTTCGCAAAAGCAAACGTTTCGTCAACGCAAGAAGAGTGTTTTTGAATCATTCAAATCGGATGCTTAGTGCTTATCTCCGAAACGGCTAGCCTTTGCCAAAATCTAATCACTACTTTTCCCCATCATTATAAATTGAATGTTTTTTGGATCCCAAAAACTCGATTTTTATTTTTGCCTCTTTGCTCGATATTTCCGAAACGGCTGGAACTGCCTTTGCTAAAAACTGATCAGCACATCTCGCTATCACACATCAATTTTTTCTAGGGTATGCCAAAATCTTCAGAAACCTTCAAAACGTGAAAAAATGCTAATATTTTTAATTTTTATTTTTGGACGATTACAATAACTAACCCTACGGGAAGTTAAAAATGTATACTGTAATTTGTGTAACATTTTGTAATAAATATATCCAAAATAGCATAAACTACTTTTACCACCCTATTCGACTAATAAATATTGACCGCTAAAAATATTAATTTATTTATTTATAAATATGTTCTTCATATAACGTAGATGTGATAATAATTAGTATTAATATGAAATCGCTAACAATTGTTTCGACTGATGAGGCATAATTATAGAAATTCCATTGTTTTAAGATAAAGTTAGTCTGATTGTGAGTTTTGCTGACATGGAGACTAAAATTGTTTACAAATCCCACAACAGAATTGACTGGACTTGCGCCGTTCTTATCAGCATAATGTTCGGACTTGTAAACAAAGTTATTAGAAAAAGTCGCAGGACACACGAGGTCAAGACATTATGCCAGCGATGTTAGATGAGCTATTCGAGGAAATATTCATTTAGTGCATTACGAAATCGACTAAACAATGTGTTTATTACATGACCTGAATAATTTGAATTTTATACTAAGTCACTCACACATGTGTGATTATTGTATGTTCAACATAGCGAATAACTAAATAAATAACGAAATTGTTTACGATATAAATATTGCAGGACTACATGTATGTATGTATGTAAGTACGGATACAAATTATCGACGATTTCGATAACGCGGTCAACTGATGTAAATAATTCAGAAAACATTCGAATTGTATTGATGGGGAGACGTGCTGATCAGTTTTTGATAAAGGCGGGTCAGCCTTTCCGAAGATAAAAGTGCCAAAAATGGTAACTCAGTTTTTGAGAGAACAGAGCGTTCGATTTAAATGAATTAAAAGATGTTTTATTTGTATTGACTAAATAAACTGAGTACATTTTTGGAAAAGCAGGTCCAGCCGTTTCAGAGATCTAATAAAAAAGCGAATAAAAATCGCCATATGGCGGTCAAAAATGATCATTAGACATATGCACATCAAATTATCAGATATTTTATAGAGATTTTAAAAATAGGTACAATTTTTTTTTACATTTTTATGGGTTCCATACCAAAGTTTCGATATTTCGTCTCTAAAACAGCTACGCAGCGCGATTGCTTTGAACCAAATTTCAAAATAGTTTTTTTTTTCAAATAGATCAGAATTCTCAAAAATCTATTTTTTTCGAAGTTTTTAACAAAATTACTTTAAATTTGTTTGTTTGTTTTTGCAAAAAATTAATTAATTTTTAAAATAATAAATTTTTGCAAGGAAAGTTTCACCAGTTTGCCTTAAGGTACATTATATGTTATATTTAATCTTATGCAACCGGATTTTTGGTTTTATTTTGCTTTTGAGCCTTGTATAAAATTTTGTTCAAATTTCTTCATAATTAAGTGACTTGAAAAACATAACACTTGCGCCAGGTAGTCAAAAAGTTCTTTTTCATAATTTTTGAACGTGTATTTGAATATTCGTGAAATTGGAAATAAAATATCAAAATTATTAAGGTAAGAGGCTATTAATGAATCATTAACTCGTAACCTAACGTTTTGATTAATATAAACATACCGTTTGACTTGTAACATAATATATATCATGTGCCAGATTTTTAATGGGAAGATGTAATTTTATTATCAAGAAATTGACAAGCATTGACAAGATTCATTTTAAACCTATACTTTTTAAAAATCCGGGATAATCTGGAACAAAAGATCTAAATCCGAGACAAATATTGCTTTTAGAAAAACCCGGGACACAATGTGAAAACCCAGGACTGTCCCGGCCAAATCGGGACGAATGACCACCTTACTACATAGTAAATAATCTAATTCTTCTATGAAAGTTATCAAGGGTTAATAAAGGTTATTCTGTAAAGGGTTAATATAAATTGTACAAATACTATATAAATCATTAATTGAATTTCAATCATTAGCATATTATATGAATATTGTTGATATGTTTCTCAATTTTCAGTTTACGCAAAAGACGCCATGGCTGCTATACCACAAGGAGCATTTGCTGCGTGCAAAATTCGCGAGAATAGAGAATGTAAGCGACTGGATCCTGAGTGCATGATAACTAGATAGTCGAAATATATTATCAACGCGGCAAGTTTTAATGAGTTAATGGTTAAATTTTGCCCATTCATATATTTTGAAATACTAATACTAATATTGATTCCATGAAAAACACATCACCAATTTAAAAAAGAGGGTATTCTAGTGTAGAAGTTCAAAGGAATAGTTTTTTTCTTTTCTTTACATATTTTCAAAGTTTAACTATTTAAGAATATGTGTACGAGAAGATTTTTCAAAATTTAAATTATTTTTGACCATGATAATTCTTTTCTGTTTTCTTTTTTTTGCGAAACTTTAAACGTTTTTTTCTCAAAACTGTCTTTTTCAATATGATGCCCACGATTCATCAAGTTCTACTGAATTTACTTAAGATGTTCGGAGAATCTTCTTTATAGACTTCTGTCAGGCATATACAAGCATAATCTCAAAAATTAAATTTTTACGATTTTTAAAAAATTCGAGAAACTCAAAAAAATGGTAAAAAATTGATCTTTTTTTAAAAAAAGTCACTATTTTGTTAAAAATGTATTTTTTAACTTAATCCTAGTATATACCATAGCGACATCATTCTAGATTAATAATCATTTCTTTTTTTTCATTTCGGATTGCTAGGAGAGTTGCAATCGTGGGCATTGTCCTCCACTTCGACCACTGCTAATTTTTAAAATTATGAACTTTTTATTGTTTCTATTTTTAAATTTATTAAATGACCTAAAATTTTTACTTTTACACTAGAATACCCTCTAAAAAGTAAAATAGGTTATTAGTTATCAAAGTCAATTTATATTATATTATGTGTCCATAGCTCATTTCGGGGTTAACTTGGTTCTAGTTTATTTGAACTTTCCGCTAACCGCATTATTTTTTTACGTTACGTATGTAGTACTTTTTAAATATTAACATTTTCATGTTTTGTGTTAAGGAAGGGAGTTTCATAAATTAGTACCATTGTTAATATTTTTCTAATTGTTAAAACCTTCATTCAGGTCTCGAGTTAACTCCAGTGAAGTATAACAGTAAACTGATGAATAGCATTTGGGGAATGTACAATCGTTATTCTCCTTATAACTTCAAGAAAAGTAATGACACTGCAATTGCACCTTTTGTTGCAGGTGACCAGAAGTACGTATACTCAACAACATTTAATTTTTTCTTTTTTTTTCTTTTTTTAGTTTTTTTCTGGCGTTCTCAGATTTAGATAGTATTTCTTTATGATTTAGACTTTGATGATGATACGTATAATCATAAGTTATATTTTATTGATGTTATTTTATAATTTATTGCGTTCGTATGGAATTCTTTTCATTATACATGGTGTCCCAGAACTCAACGTCAAACCGAAACGGGGTGATAGTATAGTTGTAGCTATCTTTCAAAAAATAAGAAAAAAACCCTTTTTATTTGAAAGTTATGAGCTATTATGAACAACCTAAAGCTTGGGTCAAACTATGATCATATTTTCATTATTGTGGTTAATTTGTATTATTTTTGTTTATTAAAACTTCAGAATCGTCACCGTAAATAACATTACTTGGACTACAGTCCAAAATAATAACACAATTGGCCCAAGTTTTCTAAAAATAGACTTAACCATGAATCTCAAATTTTCAAAATTAATCGACTTTGAAAAACCAAAGTTTAAAAAAAATTACAAAGGTAGGGCAGACTGGGTACGGTAATGACAATCGTCATAAAAGCTAAACTATACTGATTTTGAGATAGGATCCAAAGGGAGAAACATGAAGAATGATTGTTCGAACAAGTTCTCTTTAAAGCTTTCAGTCAGTACCTTACATTAACGATTAACGTGATCTGTAAACGGCATTGCTTTTAAAATCAAAAGAAAGTTTTCATAATGAAATTCTTCTAATCATAATTGTTAATTGTACACAGATAGTTTACTTTTTTTATATTATGCTGTAAGTTGAACATTAATATTAGTTTATGTTTAGATAATTAAGCTCATAATGACGATTTGTATTCAAAAGTGTGCGTTGGGTACGGTTGTGGCAAATTTAGGGGTACGGTTGGGACATGTATTCCTTGTCCTTTTTGGGTGAAAATTAAACAGATAAAAAACTCTAAAAAAACTAAAACGAAATTCGAAACAGAAAGGGTAAGGAAAACTCAATATAAAAAAAATCACAAAGAATACTTGTTAACTTTGTTTACAAAATTATGTTTTGTCATATATTGTTAAATATCATTCATAAGCTTTGATTAAATGTTTATGTTGCGTTATATTAAATATTATTGCATATTATTGTTATTAAGGACAATAAAAGTCGTTATAAACTATTTTGTTTATATCTATTGTTTCACTACTGACTATCACTACTGACCACTGAAAAAACGGTGGCACAACCGTACCCAGTTTCCCGTTACCGTTAGCAGTTTGTGCATTCAATCAGACTTGTAAAATGGTAAAATACTAGAGAGTTTCATAATAAAAAACTAAATATAACATGATTTCTGATAATGCATTTCCCTCACAATTAGTTCAAATGTTTATTGTTACTCTCATTTCTAGATTTTCTTCTGGTTTGCCTGCAAATGCTATGGACAAGAAGTCCGTAGCACCAAAGGGAGGACTCTCCCAACCAAATGGCCCTACCTGGGACATAGGCCTTCCCCATACATGTACTTACTAGATATTAATCACATATATATCACTAGTATGCATTATTAAATGATATATCTATCAAACAATTATTTACTCCAAGCATGCAAATATATATTATGTAATGTGATACACCAAATATATTTTGTGATCTCACATGGATATGTTATAATATTTTTAATAAAACATTTTTGATATTTTAGTTCGTGTTCATACTAATATTTCAGTTATGTAAATGTAAAAAAATATAAATAATGATTAATTCTTACTAAATTCATATAATTATTATATTTTCTGTACAAAAAGTACCATATCTAGTCTAATTATGCAAGAGATATATGTTGCAAATAATCAAGTTATCAGTCAACATGAGGATACTTTGTAGAATTGAATACGTTACCTTTAAAGTAATTCATAGCATGAACAAACTTTATTTTAAAAGTGAAAATACAAATTTTGAGTACACAAGTGTAAAGTGTGGATTGCAATTCTCCAGCAATATATGTATCCGAATTACTGTGCTTAAAATTGTGCGAAATAGAATAATACACATAGTAGTATAAAGGTCACCACAATTAAAATATAATTTGTATATGAATATTTTTTTGAACGGCTAAGCCGATTTTAAAAATTTGAAATCCGATCGATAAAAAATGATAAGGACAAGGATTGATTAGTTTCGGAAGGCGATTGGCAAAGCCGTTTAAAATTACCAGAAAAGAACAAAATTTTTGGTTCATGCAAAAATTCTGAACTGATTTTCAAAACTTAAAAATCGTTCGAAAAATTTTCAAATTGAAGATCGTGCTGTAAGCAGTATGTTTTTGGGATAGATTGTTCGGACCGGTTCTTCGTAATTAAATGTTAATTTTTTTTAAATAAAACTCAACATGGCGATAGAGTTTATCATCTAACTGAAAATTCTGTAAACCTACGAAAAGTGGTTGAATTATAAGAATTTGTTGAGGTCGGGAATAAGAAATTTTGGCTTTTTGGACATACAAGCTAAACTTTAATTAATATAATTACATATGTTTAAAAAATATCAATTCAAAATCGCATTGATTAATTTAGCGAAGTTGAAAATTTTATGATAGCTAAATCTCAATTTTTATTAAGTAGATTATTTTCCCGTATCGGGAAGTGCATGCAACTTGCCTGAGGGCAAATGCCACTTATACCATATAAAAATGTATGTGAAATAATTAATTGCAGTTGTAATACCTAATAAATATGTTGATTCACCATATTAAAAGTGTGTGTGTATGTGTTCGGATACAAATTTGGACACGGATAAACAGATTTGAATAATTCATTTGTATTGTATTGTATTGGGGAGTCGAGCTGATTTAGTTTTTTGGCAAAGGCAGGTCCAGAAGTTTTGAAGGTACGAGACAAAAAGTGTCAAAAATTTTATTTCAGGTTTTGAGCGTCCGATTTAAATTATTCAAAAAACAGTTCGGAGATCCAAAAAAAAGTAAAAAAACTGCCATTTAAGGTAGTCGGTAGTCAAAAATGATCATTAGACATATGCACATTAAATTATCAGATATTTTGTCAGATCAGATAAATTATCAGACAATCTTTGTTTACAGCTTGTTGTTTATATGGGTTCCGTAAATTGTTTATTTGTTAGACTGCAACGCGGCGCCTACGCGCTTCAACATTTTGTCAAACACAGCACGATTGTTTTAAAAAAAAGTTCAAAATTTCCAAAATATTTTAAAATATAATAAAAAAAATCAAAATTTTCAAAAGTCAATTTTTTTCAAAAATGTCAAAATTCTTTTTTCAGTTTTAAAAAAGTTTTGAATGTTTTAAAAAAAATGTACGGGTAGCATCAGAAATTTGCCTTATGTATACCATACACATCGCATAAAAAAGTTAAATAAACAAAATGCACACGTAACATATTCCACCTTTTCATTAATTATTTTGAAGTTTTATGTATTTTCTTATTATTTTTCAAATAAACATAATTATTATTCAAACTCAATTAATTAATGTTAATTTAATCATAACTAAACACCGCGGTTTATAAAAATTCAAGTTTTAAAACCGCGCGGCCATCTGTCCACGAATGGCAACATTACTAAGACCGAAATTAGCTTCGCTCAGTTGGCGTTCTTGTTCCCAATCACAATCCTTGTATCTACTAACTTCATTGTGCTCTGTGACTTTACCGAAAAATTGCTTATCGTTTCTTTTCGTGTCATATTTTTCATGTTTTGTGATGAAATAGTTATTATTAAGTGTGTTGTGTGTTAAAAGCAACTACCAGGCGATAAGTCAATATTTCTCTTTCAAGGTAGGTTATTATATACATACTTTTCACGAAATATAATAATTTATAACCATGTAGCGGCAATAATGTATATCAACATCAATTTTTGACATTTCTACTGTAGCGGATGACTTAAGAGGTTTAATACAGGTTAACCTAATGATTTTATTTTTTTAAGTATATCTAAATTTTGGATGATATGACTCATGTGTGAAATTGACAAAAATGTATACGCAAAAGGTTATGTCGTCATGTGTTACTGTCGAATAGCGTACGTATATTTTTTTTATGGTGTTTGATTGAAATTGGAAATTTAAAGATCGTATTAAACAAAATATTTTAGTGTAAGTAAAATGTTTAAAGTAAGCAATTAAAAGCGAAAATTATGCCGCTATATGTGTTTGATATATAAAGCCGTGTTCACACTTGGTTAGTTTTCGTTATGTAGTGCCGAAAACAATTGTAGATCGAATCTGATGATCGAGATTTATTTTTGTTAGTAAATTTGCCCAACATTGTGCAAATAAATTTTAATTTACGTAGTACAGAAGAAAAATACGTGATATATACAACAAATTTTTGCCCAATTTATTTTAATTAGTCAAAAAACCATAATTTAATTTAAAGTTAAATCAAGTTTTCACAATAATTTTTAGGGTAACTTTCAGCTTATTGATCGTTGATTCAAAAGAAATATAAATTTATGAAATTGAATTCTATAATTTAAACTATTTGGTACAATAGTTGCTGGCCATTAAGGTATTTTTGATTAAAGTAGAATATAAGAAATTGTTCACTAATTAGGGTTTTATTACCTACGCTTGTAGCGGACATAGCTCAGTCAGCAGCAAGTCCGACGCTAGGGGTACTCGGTTCGAGTCCTAGCATTGGCACAAGAATTTGTATTATTAAATTGAAAATGACAGAATTGGAATAGTTTTGTTAAATTAGGAATGAAAAGAGAACTATTAGAACACGCGAAGATAAAAAGATAAGTTACATATTATATTATATATAGATAGTATATCATATAAAAAGATAGTATGGAAAGTACAAAATGAAATGTATGTGGCTAAATCGTTAGAATAAGCCAGGCCAGATAAAAAAATTACCTACATAATATAGTTACTTTGCCTTGTGGCTTAGGTACTCGTTCTGCCGTAAAATAGACCAATGTTATGGCAAGGCTATGTTATGTAGCAGTTTTCATATAAAGTGGCACTAAAAACTGTCAAAATCATATGTGGTTGTTGTGTAGTCAGACGATTTAAATAGAAAACCTAACCTAGAAAACGCACAAATGTAAAAAAAAACGATGTTATCATAACTGCATCTTCGAGATATGACTTGCTAACATATGAGTGAAGTTGTATTTTATGTGTAAAACGCTTGGTCGCCCAGCTACTACATGACATTTTTACAGTATTTAGTACCGTTTTGTATGAATACTGAAACATAACATAGCCTTTCCATAACACTGGTCTATTTTACAGCAGAATCGGCCTATCAGTTGCAGTTAAATGCATTTCCACTCATTCAGTACCTACTTGGTGTAGTATTTCTTGAGAAAATATGTACTAAAAGTACATATAATACATATGCACTAAATAAAAAGTAAAATTCCTAATGAGAGAAAAGTGGAATGTGCAATATATAAGAAAACGTAAATGTTTGTAACACATACGAAAAAGTAAAATGAAAAATTATCGATGTTAAATTAAAAAAAAAAAAAGTTTAAACCCGAGCACTAGTTTGTCTAGACTAGACTAGTTATCTCTGCATACTGCTAGAAGCATAAATGTCCAGTTTAGTATTTATGGTTTTTCGCAAATAAATTTACCTCTGCAAACTATAATTTCTGAATCGTTTTTTTAACGATTTGACTGCTTACGCCGGTTAAAACTATCTCTTGTAAAATAAGTACAGCAACAATCATTCGCGTTTTAATTTTGTCCAATAGTAATTTATTAATAGTATAAATTTGTCCGTCTCTGAACTAATAATGTCTATAATGATATTTGTAAAAATTCTGTAATGTTTTGGGTGGATAGGTTTGCTTGGTGTATTTTCGTTGTAGTCACGCAAGTTGGCCGTTTTGGGGTGAATGGCTTTATGTCATCGATTTGCCCCCACATGTATTCGACGCCCTAGCGAGGGGCGTGGTTTGTTTATTGATCCACGGTTTTCCGACCGTAGGAGAGAGAAAATCCAGTACTACTCGTGGTGCATTCATAGTCGGAAAATCGTCAGAAAATTCGCTCATTTCAAACCTCGAGTGCGCGCCGATTTTACCATTTACCGCTTCAAAATCGTTTAAGATAATATGCTGAATATTTTTCTCTAGTGAAATTGTTGTAATTTTTCCCTGTTGACCGTTTTTCCTATGCCAAGTTTTTATGATATTTTCTACCAGTGTTGTGTTGACGTTCTTGAACGCCGGTTACTTTTGAAAACGTGTTGTGACAATTATTACTTTGTGTAATTATCGACTGGAATTCATGTATGTATTTTAGGAAAATTTATTTGGGTACATGTATTTATTTTTTGTATACGTTGTTTTAATCGGAAAAATATTAATACGTGATTTTTTCAATAATCCTTGTTATTGTATATTGGATTGGTATAAAATATTTGCATGTATATTTATCTTAACAGTCGTATACCTTAAGATTCATACATTTTTCCTCAAAATTAAAGTTAATTTTGATTATAATTATATTGGGCTATTAGGCGTTTTACAATGAAACAATAAAATTCAAATTAAAAAAAATGTTTAGGAGTAAATTACTTCAATGGTTAAATTCTTTTTTAGCCAAGTTTATCAATTAATTAGTTCTTCCATTCATATTTGTCTGATTATACTTTGTTTATTATAATACATGTTATTTTATTAGACTGTTATTTGTGAATTTAATATCTACTGTGTGGAATATTTTCACAATACATTTTGCGTTAAAAGCTTGTTACAATATTTACATAAGTTATAATAAGAGCCACGTGACATCTTGCCAGTAAAAATGTTTTCAATGTTTGATGCTTCCGTAATATATCTGATTGTCGTTTCCGATTTTTTTTTAAACAAACACTAATGGAATTTAATCCCACAGACATTATTTATTAATACTGAATTTATTAAATAATGTTTTACAGTATATCATTTCCATTTATAACTTGTACTTTGGATGTTAAATTATTTTACAATATTTTATTAAATTATTATTATTAACATTCTATAGGAAAATTAACTTCTCGTAGGGAAAGATTAGTAATAGGGAAAATGATTTTTTTTTGTATAAATTTACATTTAAAAATATCGAAAATGATTCGGATTTTAATTTTAACTTAAATTCTAAAGAGCACCTATATACTTGATATAAATAAATTCTACTTTGCACTCCCGTTTATATAATTTTTAGAAATATGAGATAAGGTCCTTCATTGTAACTCCGCTTGATTAAGTTTTATTATATTTACTTTTCATGTAAACATATATGAAAATATACTCGTCTAATTTATAAGTTCTTATATTTTGTCTATAAAATAAGAATGAAAGTTACAATATTTATAATAATCTATTTGAAAACATTTGAAATTCCTTCAAAATATTTTGAATTACATTATTATTATTATTATTGTTATTATTATTATTATTATGAAAATATAATTTCACTATTAATATAATAAAAATATATTTCACGAATCAGTATATTTTACATTTAATTATTTTAATATAAATGTACAGTTCATTATTATAAAGCCAATGTGCAGATTATACAATAATTCGCGCGATATATTTATATTTGTATAAATACCAGAATAAATTTTTATCGTTACATATGAAGTTTAATATAAATTGCAAAGTATATTATTATTATGCAGTTAATGATATCTGTATTATTTTAAAACGTTTCAAATTAATTTTGGTGTCAATTGTTTTTTAATTTACTGTTGAATATTATAAATATATATTTGACTTAAAGTAAAATTTAATATAGTAAAAAGGCAATGCGCGATAAATTGATTATTAACTAATTTTACCATTAAACATGGAAATTAATTCAAAGAGATTGTGAGTACTGATGAGACCAATTAGAAACTCGCTGACAGAAGACTGTTTTAATTTTGTGTAAACATTTAAACAACTAACAATTAACAATTTAAACATTTTTTTATTCATTTCATTATAGGTAAAATTAGAGTACAACATATAATAGAATAATAAGTTTTTACTATAAGCCCGTAGTTCTGTTTAAGAAATTATTTCATTCAAAAAAATGTATCCTTAAATAGTAAAATCATATTTATTTAGTATAAACCCCTATTAGAACTAGATCACACACATGCACGTTTCAAGCAAGCAAGTATCGAATTCTCAGTACTAGGGTTTATACAAAACCGACATTTCAGAAAACCGGTTTTCGAATTTTAATTTTACTAAAAAACCGATTTTAGCCGGTTTTCAAATTTTATATAAAAAATAAATTTTTGCTCGAATATTCTGTAATTTATCCGCAAATTTAGTGTTATTTAGAGCAGTATTTGACTGAATTTATTTATTGTTCAATTTTATGGATAGTAAGCAAAATTATTTTAATTTTCATTAGTATAACTAAAAAATAATAGTTTATCTTGATTAAGTAACTTAGAAAATAATTATGCGTTATTCATGCATTATTTTCACATATAAGAATGAAAATATTTTTATGATAGTGAAAGGAAAGTTTTCGAATAAATAAAAATGTTACATTTTTAAATAAAAACCATTTCTTAAATTAAATTTAGATACATGTTGATACATATTTGTTAATATCAATTTTAATTTTAAAAACAATTAAGCTAAACTCGGGTATTGTCTGTTCCAAGCAGTTTTAATTATTTTAAAAATCCTAATTATTTTTTTTTGTTTATAAAAATATGATTTCAAAAAACTGAGAACATCTATCGAATTGCTACTTAGACGTGTCCTTTGTTTACTCACAAAATTTCCTGAAACAGAAAATACTCTCATACTTGCGACCAAATTA